TAAATTTTTTGAAATTCGAGAATGGTAAATTTATTATCATTAATTATAGTTGGTGCTTAATTTTTTTCTTTCCTTTCTTTAAGAAAGATTCAAGTATTAGATATAATTTTTTAATATTTGAATTATTTTTTAATAATTAATCATCAACTATATCAGTTATTTTTTAACAACATAAATTTAATACTAATTTATAATAAATGTCAAATTTATTTCCATTAATTATAGTTGATGATTAATTTTTTCTTTCCTTTTTTAAGAAAAGTTTAAATTTAAAATTTAAGATTTTAAATTCTTACTTAAAAAAAGAAATAAATCAATAATCAAATCAAATAAATCAATAATGTGCATAATCAATTTTAACCTGTGTATTCTTTTTAAAAAAAATACTAAAACCTTATGTTTACTATGACTATATCCAAAATCAATCTCATATGATTGACAAGGTACAGATGAAATTTGCATGAATTATACCAGACTGGTTTTGTATAAGAGATAGGTGTTAGATAGAATTATGCACATGCACATTATTCATCTCAAATTTTATTTTATTTTCTTATTTTGTATAATTATCGACTAGCATTATAAATAATAGTTATTAAATAATAATTAAAATAATAAATGATATGGTTATTAAATTAAGGGTAAAGGATTTTTCCAGTTACTGGAGATAAAGTTATCTCCAGTGAGCTTAAAACGACGTCGTTTTGTGGCGAAAATCAAGGTGTTTTTGTAATTATAATATATTGCAGGGTTATATTAGTTTTATAATTATAAATTTTTAATCTTATAACCCAAAACGATATCGTTTTGAGCTCACTGGAGATAACTTTGTCTCCGGTGACTGGAGAAATACTTTTTCCTTAAATTAATATTATAAATAAATTTCAAGTTTGTATTTTGTATTTTTAAATTTTTTGAAATTCGAGAATGGTAAATTTATTATCATTAATTATAGTTGGTGCGTAATTTTTTCTTTCCTTTTTTTAAGAAAGATTCAAGTATTAGATATAATTTTTAATATTTGAATTATTTCTTAAAAAATCAATCAATCAATAACCAAATCAATGAATAATCAATTGTAACCGGTGCGATTTAAAAAAAACATATTTTAATTAATTTTTGAAATGCGTTATTGGCTAGGGTGATTAAATTACGAAATCAGTCTCATAAGATTGACATGCCACTTGAAACTTGCACGGATCATACGAGACTGATTTTGTATAACAGATGAACGTTTGATAGGATTATGCACATTAATTATAGTTGATGATTAATTTTTTTTCCTTTTTTAAGAAAACTTTAAAATTTAAAATTTAAGATATTTAATTCTTAATTAAAAAAAGAAATAAATCAATAATCAAATCTCAAATTTAAAAAATATCAATAATCAAATCAAATAAATCAATAACCAATAATCAATTGTAACCTATGTATTCTTTTAAAAAAAATACTAGTTTAATTCACTTTTAAAACCTTATGTTTACTATGACTATATCCAAAATCAGTCTCATATGATTGACATGGTACAGATGAAATTTGCATGAATCGTACGAGACTGATTTTGTATAAGAGATGAACGTTTGATAGGATTATACACATGCACGTTATCCATCCCAAATTTTATTTTCTTATTTCGTTAAATTATCAATTAGCGTTATAAATAATTATTATTATGTAATATTTAAAATAAAAAATATTATTTTTTTTAATTTAAAAAGTTTGTATTAAATTTATTTTGTAAAAAAATAAATAAATTTCAGGCTTGAATTTTGAATTTTGAATTTTTTAAAATTTGAAAATGGTAAATTTAGCATCGTTAATTATAGTTGACGATTTAGTTTTTCTTTCCTTTTTTTTAAAGATATTCAAATATTAGATATAATTTGAAATATTTGAATTCTTTCCTAAAAATAGAAATAAATTAATTATCATAACTATATTAATTAATATTTTATAAAATGAATTTAATGCTAAGTTTGAAAAAAGGGACATATACTAAGTCACTGACTACTGAAAATGTTTTGTGCTTCTGAAGTAGTTGCTCTGAAATGTTGGCATAAGCTGCGATTTGTTTCCTCAGAGTTTCCAACTGCTCATTAGTCATAATAATCTTCCCATTGTTGGCAATTTGTTTACTTAGGGTTCTAAAAGTGAATTAAACTAGTATTTTTTTAAAAAAGAATACACAGTTTACAATTGATTATTGGCTATTGATTTATTTGATTTGATTATTGATATTTTTAAATTTATGATTTGATTATCGATTTTTTTCTTTTTTTAAGTAAGAATTTAAATATCTTAAATTTTAAACTTTAAACTTTTCTTAAAAGAGGAAAGAAAAAATTAATCATCAACTATGATTAATGGAAATAAATTTGACATTTTTGCAATGGATGTGCAATTGTGCATAATCCTATCAAACGTTCATCTGTTATACAAAACCAGTCTCGTATGATCCGTGCAAGTTTCAAGTGGCATGTCAATCTTATGAGACGGATTTCGTAATTTAATCACCCTAGCCAATAACAAATTTCAAAAATTAATTAAAATATGTTTTTTTTAATCACAATGGTTACAATTGATTATTGATTGATTAATATTTTAAGAAATAATTCAAAAATTACAAATTATATCTAATACTTGAATCTTTCTTAAAAAAGGAAAGAAAAATTTAATCACCAACTATAATTAATGATAATAAATTTACCATTCTCGAATTTCAGAAAATTCAAAAATACAAAATACAAACTTGAAATTTATTTATAATATTAATTTAATAACCATATCATTTATTATTTTAATTATTATTTAATAATTATTATTTATAATGCTAATCGATAATTATACGAAATAAGAAAATAAAATAAAATTTGGGATGTAAGAATCTGAATCCAAGTATTGCAAGTCTTCAGGGTTCTGAAAGCACAATTGTTTATCCCCTGTAGTTGCATTAGGTTGGGACTGATATTCCTCCTTCTCTTTCAGTGCTACCCTCTGTCAAATTATGCTGTTTTCTTTTAGTCGAGCTCGCTTGTTCTGAAAGCAATTATAAACATTTCTTTCAGATGTTTGGCCATGCTGGCTCAGTTCTGTAGTTACATTAGGTTGGGACTGATATTCCTCCTTCTCTATTTCTGATTCAGTGCTACCCTCTGTCACATTATGCTGTTTTCTTTTCAGTCGAGCTCGCTTGTTCTGAAACCAATTATAAACATTTCTTTCAGATATTTGGCCATGCTGGCTCAGTTCAGCAGTTATCTCCATGATTTTTTCCTTGTTTGTAATTCCCTTCCCCTTCCCCTCCTCAAATATTCGCCCAAGAATCTGAAGCTGCTTGAGTGTCGGAGTCCACCTCTTGTGGGTTAATGGGTCACTGCATATATCTCCCACTATTCCACTAGGTTTCTGCTCGGTAACTGAAAAAAATAAAAAAATAACCCAACGTATTAGTTAGCCAAAGCAAAATGCAAGGAAAAAATCAACCAGGTTTTATTTTTCTGGGTCTGTGACCACCATGACATTTTGTATTTGACATCAATGGGTCACTGCATACATTTCCCACTACACTTCTGAGTACACGATTAAAATGAATAAGCCAAAGTATTAGTTAGCCAAAGCAAAATGCAAGGAAAAAAAGCAAAATATTTTCAATGCTAATACGAGAATAGTGAGTATTTCGGTACATACTTTACTAAATACTAAAAAAGAAAAGTAAATACATTTACATCATCTCTGTCTTTGTGATTATTTCCTCCTATATTCATTTTTTGTCCTTTTTTGATAAGAGAATACCCATTACGTACAATTTGTACTCCTCAATTGGAATCCACAAACTTTATCAGTGGCTTACATTTAATCGTTTTTCAAACTTAAAAGTTGATGGCTAAAAGTAGAAAATTGAAGGAGGAATACAAATAAATACATTGACAGACATACTCAATGTATAAAAGTTTTCACAAAAGAAATGATTTTGGAGAGCAAAATGAGGCGTCTTAGAGCAATAAATATTGGGCAATTACGATAAGGTGGTAACTAAGCATTTCCACAAAGAAGAAGAAGAATATGCAAAATGAAAATGAAAGAAAGACCTGAAAGATTGCACTGAACTGAGAGTGTTTTGTGCTTCTGAAGTAGTTGCTCTGAAATGTTGGCATAAGCTGCGATTTGTTTCCTCAGAGTTTCCAACTGCTCATTAGTCATAATAATCTTCCCATTGTTGGCAATTTGTTTACTTAGAGTTTCCAACTGCTCGTCAGTCATTATAACCTTCCCATTGTTGGCATCAACATTCTCATTCTGAACCTGTTTCTGCCATTCCATCAGATTCACTATCTGTCTATGCTGCATGTCTGTCCTTGTGGAAGAGATAGAAAATTCAGCAATCAAGATTTGTCTGAAAAATTAACACAGGCAAAGGAAAGAAAAATGATGAAAAAAAAAACGAACATTTATAGACCAAAACAAATACATAGCATACGGACCTTATGAGCAGTTGGATTGGGCGAATATTTGAGGAGGGGAAGGGGAAGGGATTTACAAACAAGGAGAAAATCAAGGAGATAACTGCTGAACTGAGCCAGCATGGCCAAATATCTGAAAGAAATGTTTATAATTGGTTTCAGAACAAGCGAGCTCGACTGAAAAGAAAAGAAAACAGCATAACCTGACAGAGGGTAGCACTGAATCAGAAATAGAGAAGGAGGAATATCAGTCCCAACCTAATGTAACTACATGGGATAAACAATTGTGCTTTCAGAACCCTGAAGACTTGCAGTACTTGGATTCAGATTCTTACATACCATATCCCATGTTCTGGTGAGATGATTTGTGTTTATGAGGTGCCATCAAACACAAGTATGTAAAATCTTCAATAGCTATAATTTTTTATGAGCTCATTTGGTCCAAACTACCATTTTTATGTATTTTTATACTAGTGGTCACTTAGGTTGTCATGATTATGGAATAATTCTCTTAAAGTCATAATTTTGTTATTATTAATTATTAAAATTTCAATTTAACAGTGCGTGTTCTTGGGACACCATTTTTAATTTGGGACACCACCTGTGATTCAAAAAATAATTGATAATTGATATTATAATAAATTTGGGACACCAAATTTGGGACACTAATTTATTATTATTATAAATTAGTATTAAATTTATCTTGTTAAAAAATAACTGATATTATAATAAATTTAAGGCGTGATTTTTGAATTTTTTTTAAAATTTGAAATGTTAAATTCATTATGATTAATTATAATTGATGGTTAATTTTTTTCTTTCCTATTCAAACATTTGATATAATTTAAAATATTTGAATTCTTTCTTAAAAATATAAATAAATCAAAAATCAAATCTAAATTTTAAAAAAAATCAATAATCCATAATAAACTATAACCAATGCATTTAAAAAAAAATACTTTAATTTACTTTTGAAATTTATTATTCACCTTTTGTATAGGGTGACTAAATCACAATATCAGTCTTGTTTGATTAGCATGACAGAGATGAAATTTGCATGAATCATACAAGACTGGTTTTGTATAAGAGATGGGTGTTAGATAGAATTATGCACATGCACATTATTCATCCCAAATTTTATTTTATTTTCTTATTTCGTAGAATTATCGATTAGCATTATAAATAATAATTATTAAATAATAATTAAAATAATAAATGATATGGTTATTAAATTAATATTATAAATAAATTTCAAGTTTGTATTTTGTTTTTTAAATTTTTTGAAATTCGGGAATGGTAAATTTATTATCATTAATTATAGTTGGTGATTAATTTTTTCTTTCCTTTTTTAAGAAAGATTCAAGTATTAGATATAATTTTTAATATTTGAATTATTTCTTAAAAAATCAATCAATCAATAATCAATTGTAACCAGTGTGATTTAAAAAAAACATATTTTAATTAATTTTTGAAATTTGTTATTGGCTAGGGTGATTAAATTATGAAATCTGTCTCATAAAATTGACATGCCACATGAAACTTGCACAAATCATACGAGAATGATTTTGTGTAACAGATGAACGTTTGATAGGATTATGCACAATTGCACATCCATTGCAAAAATGGCAAATTTATTTCCATTAATTATAGTTGATGATTAATTTTTTCTTTCCTTTTTTAAGAAAAGTTTAAATTTTAAAATTTAAGATATTTAAATTCTTACTTAAAAAAAGAAATAAATCAATAATCAAATCATAAATTTAAAAAATATCAATAATCAAATCAAATAAATCAATAACCAATAATCAATTGTAACCTGTGTATTCTTTTTTTAAAAAAATACTAGTTTAATTCACTTTTAAAACCTTATGTTTACTATGACTATATCCGAAATCAATCTCATATGATTGACATGGTACAGATGAAATTTGCATGAATCATACCAGACTGGTTTTGTATAAGAGATGGGTGTTAGATAGAATTATGCACATGCACATTATTCATCCCAAATTTTATTTTATTTTCTTATTTCGTATAATTATCGATTAGCATTATAAGTAATAGTTATTAAATAATAATTAAAATAATAAATGATATGGTTATTAAATTAAGGGTAAAGGATTTTTCCAGTTACTGGAGATAAAGTTATCTCCAGTGAGCTTAAAACGACGTCGTTTTGTGGCGAAAATCAAGGTGTTTTTGTAATTATAATATATTGCAGGGTTATATTAGTCTTTATAATTATAAATTTTTAATCTTATAACCCAAAACGATATCGTTTTGAGCTCACTGGAGATAACTTTGTCTCCGGTGACTGGAGAAATACTTTTTCCTTAAATTAATATTATAAATAAATTTCAAGTTTGTATTTTGTATTTTTAAATTTTTTGAAATTCGAGAATGGTAAATTTATTATCATTAATTATAGTTGGTGCGTAATTTTTTCTTTCCTTTTTTTAAGAAAGATTCAAGTATTAGATATAATTTTTAATATTTGAATTATTTCTTAAAAAATCAATCAATCAATAACCAAATCAATAAATCAATGAATAATCAATTGTAACCGGTGCGATTTAAAAAAAACATATTTTAATTAATTTTTGAAATGCGTTATTGGCTAGGGTGATTAAATTACGAAATCAGTCTCATAAGATTGACATGCCACTTGAAACTTGCACGGATCATACGAGACTGATTTTGTATAACAGATGAACGTTTGATAGGATTATGCACATTAATTATAGTTGATGATTAATTTTTTTTCCTTTTTTAAGAAAACTTTAAAATTTAAAATTTAAGATATTTAATTCTTAATTAAAAAAAGAAATAAATCAATAATCAAATCTCAAATTTAAAAAATATCAATAATCAAATCAAATAAATCAATAACCAATAATCAATTGTAACCTATGTATTCTTTTAAAAAAAATACTAGTTTAATTCACTTTTAAAACCTTATGTTTACTATGACTATATCCAAAATCAGTCTCATATGATTGACATGGTACAGATGAAATTTGCATGAATCGTACGAGACTGATTTTGTATAAGAGATGAACGTTTGATAGGATTATACACATGCACGTTATCCATCCCAAATTTTATTTTCTTATTTCGTTAAATTATCAATTAGCGTTATAAATAATTATTATTATGTAATATTTAAAATAAAAAATATTATTTTTTTAATTTAAAAAGTTTGTATTAAATTTATTTTGTAAAAAAATAAATAAATTTCAGGCTTGAATTTTGAATTTTGAATTTTTTAAAATTTGAAAATGGTAAATTTAGCATCGTTAATTATAGTTGACGATTTAGTTTTTCTTTCCTTTTTTTTAAAGATATTCAAATATTAGATATAATTTGAAATATTTGAATTCTTTCCTAAAAATAGAAATAAATTAATTATCATAACTATATTAATTAATATTTTATAAAATGAATTTAATGCTAAGTTTGAAAAAAGGGACATATACTAAGTCACTGACTACTGAAAATGTTTTGTGCTTCTGAAGTAGTTGCTCTGAAATGTTGGCATAAGCTGCGATTTGTTTCCTCAGAGTTTCCAACTGCTCATTAGTCATAATAATCTTCCCATTGTTGGCAATTTGTTTACTTAGGGTTTTAAAAGTGAATTAAACTAGTATTTTTTTTAAAAAGAATACACAATTTACAATTGATTATTGGCTATTGATTTATTTTATTTGATTATTGATATTTTTAAATTTATGATTTGATTATCGATTTTTTTCTTTTTTTAAGTAAGAATTTAAATATCTTAAATTTTAAACTTTAAACTTTTCTTAAAAGAGGAAAGAAAAAATTAATCATCAACTATGATTAATGGAAATAAATTTGACATTTTTGCAATGGATGTGCAATTGTGCATAATCCTATCAAACGTTCATCTGTTATACAAAATCAGTCTCGTATGATCCGTGCAAGTTTCAAGTGGCATGTCAATCTTATGAGACGGATTTCGTAATTTAATCACCCTAGCCAATAACAAATTTCAAAAATTAATTAAAATATGTTTTTTTTAATCACAATGGTTACAATTGATTATTGATTGATTAATATTTTAAGAAATAATTCAAAAATTACAAATTATATCTAATACTTGAATCTTTCTTAAAAAAGGAAAGAAAAATTTAATCACCAACTATAATTAATGATAATAAATTTACCATTCTCGAATTTCAGAAAATTCAAAAATACAAAATACAAACTTGAAATTTATTTATAATATTAATTTAATAACCATATCATTTATTATTTTAATTATTATTTAATAATTATTATTTATAATGCTAATCGATAATTATACGAAATAAGAAAATAAAATAAAATTTGGGATGAATAATGTGCATGTGCATAATTCAATCTAACACCTATCTCTTATACAAAACCAGTCTTTCTACTAAGGGAGTAGTGTAGAACAGGAATGTTTACACTACTCCTATATCTGGCAATTTCATCATTAGGATTCTAGTATTCAAGGGATTGATGCTAGAATTCTGATGTAATCTTAAGACCTTAGTGTTTAATGCATGTATTAAGAAAGAAATCACCAAGGGATTGGGGTTTCTGATTAATGTATCTATCAGGGTAGTAAGGGATTACATCTTGATGATAAGTAAAAGGTTGATTAACATCACATGAAAGAGAATTCATCATATGATCGATTTTTACATGAGTTTATTGTTGAGGGAAATTGACATCTGACTACTTGTTTACATTATAATTTACATTTTATTTATTTATCAAGTTTTAATTCAATTCAGTGTAGTTTCTGGTGACAAGAAATCTATGCAATCTATGAACTTTTGTTTGATTCAACTCAAGTATATATGGTTAGTCGGTGCTTGACACAAATCCTCGTGGGAA